TGGATTTGGGGTATGCCCCTCATACCGGCACTACACCTTTAAAGCCCAAGACCTACTGGAGGTACTTGGGATTCTAGTTTGACCGCGGGCTCACGTTTCATGAGCATGTTCGCTACTACGCCACCAAGGCGTTCACCACCGTGCAAGCCATGCGCATGCTCGGGAACTCTACTAGAGGTCTCTCGCCTAAACAGTGCCGCCTCTTGTATCGGTCATGTGTGGTTCCCATTGCCACATACGGCTATCGTCTCTGGTATTTCAATGGCACCCGTAATAAGGGCGCGATGAACCAGTTAAAATGGATGCAGCGGAAAGCTGCTCTATGGATTACGGGTGCTTTCTGCACCTCCCCCACCGGCGGTCTTGAGGCTCTAGCGGGTCTCATCCCTGTCCATCTTATGCCGAAGAAGCTGGCAACACACGCAGTGTATCGCGTAGCCACCCTCTTGGACACCCACCCTCTTCGCTCTATGATGGGCGAGGGACTCCTCAAGCGAGCTGCACCACATGCTCGCTCTGCCGCCTTGATGACCCCAGCCATGCGAGGGAAAGTCAAGAGCACTGTCATGGAAGTGGACGAGCGTGTCCACACCTTAACTGAGAGCTTCGAGCCCTTTACACCTGAAGCTCGTCCAGGCGATCGGTTACTGGACCGCTATGCGGACCGTCTCCACTTTGACGAGCGTGATCCTACCCAGGATAGGCGTCCGTATCTAGACGAGCTCATCGCGAGAGCGAGGGCTGACCCACTAACAGTACTGGCTGCAACTGATGGCTCTGTCCCTCAGTCCAACCAGTATCAGGCGGCTTCGGCTGCCATTTTTTATTCATCGTAGCATCAACAATTTATATAGCGGTGCTCGATGGCAGCCCGCTCGCTATCTACAAACACATACACTACACGGCCTGGGTACTAAGTAAACTACTAAAAGACGTCTGCCCCCCCAACCCACGAGCCTTATGGCTCAAACGCCGAAGCTCCCATAAAGCCAGACCCACCTCGCAAAAACGGTGATGCGGGATAAGGGGAAGAGACCATTGAGGCCCTGCTAAACCCCAAAGCTGTCGGATGCTGTTCGGAGGCCATGCAGCGCAAATGAAATAAGAGAGCACCACCCGGGAGGTGGCAGGGTGTCTTAAGGCCGACAAGCCAGAGAAGCGCCTGCCTGAGACCAGACGCAGAGAATTAGCGGTGCCGCAGTCGACCAAAAGGTCGATCACCTGCACAATGGAATTGCGATGGACGCAGGTCTTCGAACCCTAGAGCTCGTTGGTGTCAATTCACCATAAATCCCCCAACAGGAGGAATAACCCTGCCCACAACGATTATCCGACACCCGAGGGGTCTCGGTTGAAGCCAAATGCCGTGGGGTTGTACTTCATAAAAGATGCAATATCCCCAAGAAAGTGGGGGTAATGCACGGAGTAGCGATCGCGACAGCGAAAGAGAATATGCTGGCAGGACTGCAAAGCAGCCCCGCAAGTGCAGCCATGAGGCTCATTGATCTTGAAGCGATGGTAATACGCTCCAATGGGCGCGTGGCCAGTTATACACCGGCAAACGCGGGCAAACTCAGTGATACTGTGTCCGAAGGTTGAAAGCCAAGGTCCCCCATTGAGGTAAGATGGCTGTAGCAGCCGCCCGTCCGGCTGTTGAAGCTCTAAGAATTCAGAGCCTCGATAAGTTGGATCCTGGAAAGTGGAGCTCCACAAATCCAGGACTGAGTGCGCCGCTCGAGAGCGTAGCACGTCTATAGAGTTATCCGTCTTACGACGTCCAACCCTGACTTTGAGTTCGGTGACGTACTTGTGTGCCTCACCGTGGATGTCCCACCGCAGAGCAGCAGGGACGTAGATGAAGGTAATGCAACAGAGATCATCCGCCTCAAACCACTCTTGAAGAGCGCGACATACTGACAGGCTAAAAGCCTGACCAGAGTGCACAGAGGGGTCTACCGCTCTATGGGCCGAGCCCATAGAGTCAGTAAAAACCATAATATGTTGGCAGTTTGCCTGCTTAACAGCAAGGTGCACTGCACACGAGATGGCATTGAGTTCCGCATCTGGGGCGGTAACTCTGCCAGAGACATAACAAGTCCTTTCGAGCTCACGATGTCCCTTGTAGATTATAGCAGCTGAAGCTGCCTGATACTGGTTGGACTGAGGGACAGAGCCATCAGTTGCAGCCAGCACTGTTAATGGGTCGACCCTTGCTCTCGCGATGAGCTCGTCTAGATATGGGCGCCTATCCTGGCCAGGATCACGCTCATCAAAATGGAGACGGTCCGCATAGCGGTCCAGTAACCGATCGCCTGGACGAGCTTCAGGCGTAAAGGGCTCGAAGCTCTCAGTTAAGGTGTGGACACGCTCGTCCACTTCCATGACAGTGCTCTTGACTTTCCCTCGCATGGCTGGGGTCATCAAGGCGGCAGAGCGAGCATGTGGTGCGGCTCGCTTGAGGAGTCCCTCGCCCATCATAGAGCGAAGAGGGTGGGTGTCCAAGAGGGTGGCTACGCGATACACTGCGTGCGTTGCCAGCTTCTTCGGCATAAGATGGACAGGGATGAGACCCGCTAGAGCCTCAAGACCGCCGGTGGGGGAGGTGCGGAAAGCACCCGTAATCCATAGAGCAGCTTTTCGCTGCATCCGTTTCAACTGGTTCATCGTGCCCTTATTGCGGGCGCCATCAAAATACCAGAGACGATAGCCGTACGTGGCAATAGGAACCACGCACGACCGATATAAGAGGCGGCACTGTTTAGGTGAGAGACCTCTAGTAGAGTTTCCGAGCATGTGCATGGCCTGCATGGTGGTGAACGCCTTGGTGGCATAGTAGCGAATGTGCTCATGAAATGTGAGCCTGCGGTCAAAGTAGAAGCCCAAGTACCTCCAATAGGTCTTGGGTTTCAAAGGTGTGGCACCGGTATGTGGGGCATACCCCAGATCCAGCGAGGGATTGTAGGCATCTCATCGACGCGAAAAGTGAAACAACTCGGTCTTGTCGTGTTCAAGAACGAGCGCAAAGGCAACAAAGAGAAGGTAGATAATTTTGTAGGCCTTATGCAGGCCCACATTATTATCATCAAGTTGTTTGGATTGGGCCAGAATGGTCCCATCATCCACAAAGGACAGCAGCGTCATGTTGAGTGGCGCCGCTTTGATGTAGAAGAGCTTCATTACCGGAGCAATGAACAGCCCAGAGATAACAGGCGAGAGAGCAGAGCCCTGCCCAACACCCACGTCCGCAGACCGTGAGTCGGATTGGAACCAGCGTGTTGGACGACCCATTTTCGGGAC